CCCCCCCCCATTTTGTTATAAAAACAGAAGTATGATTTGCACTGATCAATTAAATTCGAGCACTATCGAATGCCACTCCGTTATACATCTACATGCTTTGTGTTCTCCTTCGATTCGAAATATTCTCCTGTTGGTTAGTCATCTTTAAAGATGGAGATTTGATCAAAGAGATTCGCTGAGAAATTTGATTTACATTTTTGTGGCTAGTGAATGGGTTGTCGACGACATTAAGTTGTTCACTGTAAATCCAAGAATAATTATATTAATCGATCCAATCTATTTGGAGTTAGTTGACGGAAGGGTGTCTGGATGCGTCTATTGGGTTGAAAAATTAATGAAAATGGACTTTGGAAGATTGTTGCAATCAAAATACAAATAGATAGTTGACCAAGTATGAGGTCAGCCCATGAATCAGAAGTCAAGTAGCCAATAATCTAGAGTATTAGTTATGGAGTAGAGCGCGTCTGTCGATTAAAGGAGTCATCGTTGACTTATTGACATTAATTACCAATGGAGATTTTATTTTTACTACATTAATCCCACTGTTCACCAAATAACCGAACAAATGCAGGGCTCAACGACTTGATGAAAGGCCAATAAAATATGTGTCACAGATTAACAGAATAGATAATAATGGAGACTGATTAATTATCCCTTAAATTTATCAAATTACAATAAAAGAATCTTGATTTAGCCTGCTCCTAAGTACATATCTACCTTTGGTTAAGGTTCGCAATCGCCAGGTCCAACATGAATTAGCAACCAATGATACAAATGTTCCAAGAAGAACCCTAGGGTATGGAGATAGCTATGACAGACAAGCTAAACAAGCCACTATCGCTTCAACAAAGCCGCTTTCCTATTCGCAGTCAATGAATGCGTTCCCTAGAAACCGTGATATTCCCATGGTTCTCCGTGGAGGTGACAATCAGTTTCGAAATGAGCGTATAAATGTGAGTGTATGAAATCACTATTTTCATCTATTTACTTAATTTCCATTCAAACCGAATTTATCCTTTTTCATCCATTTTTAAAAGCCGCCAACCCGCCACAAATCAATGAATCCAGGGGTGAATAAAAGCGCCCAATTAGGGACTTGGGCTGGGCCTCGAAGTGGTTTTCAGTCGAAAACAAGGAATAGAAGTGTCAGTCCGGTACGATCTCGAATTCCAAAATCGCAATCTCCACAGTATCACCAACATATTCTAAGCACTTCTTCAGTTCCTAAACAGAATCGCGTGCGACGAACCATCGCTCCCCGACCTTGGATTGCTTGAAGCTGTGATGTGAACTCCGCGCTATACATGGATGTTTTTATCTCTCTCTTTCTCTCTCTCTCTTACTGTTTATCACCTTTTTCTCATGCCCTGACTCTCTTTGCTTGGTATATACTCTGAATTCTTTTGTAAAAGAAAGCATGATGCCTATGAGCTACTGATTGCGTTGTATTATTTGAAAACTGCACGCGTATTTAGATTGTTGCGCTCTGCCAAAGGAATCAATAAGGTAGATGGGTAGATGTATCAGATTCTTCAGGTTTTAATGTTTTAAGTGAGAGCATAGACGAAATTGGTTAATTGCTGGGTGTGATAAGTGTGAACTAAATGGTCCTCTATTAGAAAAGCAATAATATATAAGGCAAGTTAATATGAGATGGTATAAAGCCTACGATTATGATATGGGTACGGAAATAAGAGCAACTTTTAAAGCCACCATTTTTGCCTTAATGGGTGCTATCTGCATGAAGTTGGGCATATGCACCATTCGTTTGCTCTCCATGCAAACGTACGTGCTTTCGTTTGGCAAACTAGGTTGTGCGTCCACTTCTGGGGTATCACCTGGTTTACCAGATGATCGTGACCACTAAGAGCACTCGATTGCGGATGTGTTACCAGGACCAAACAAAGATTGACTAATACTTAATGAGGATGTTAAAGCGGATGAAACGCAATTGCCATCTTATGGGCCACCATTAAGGCTGAGTGAACTAATGATAACTCTGGACTCCAGATTTACTCAGCCACAGCTCCATGTTGCTTCCGAATCAGATGGTCATGGTGACAAGATGTCTGCTCTTTAATGATTTCAATTCGTTTTTCTATACTTCGTGCTCTTATATGCGTTCGTGACCCATCGGTTTAGTGGTCTTTAACAATTCCTTATTTCGATCACACTTTTTTGACGTGTTCGTGCCCTTCGTTTGGTCTAATGAAAAAAATCACAATTAAAATATCATTACCGCGAAGTTTGAAACCATTTAAATAAAAGTAAGCATTTTAGTACTATATAATTAATATGAACCTTAAGGAAATTGCCTGATTAAAACCCACTATAACAAAGAGTGAGGGAGGCAAAAGTTGGTAGTTTGCGCTTTTGACAAACAAAAATAAAAAACTTTTCCTCTATTGAATTAGCTTGATATTGAAGGACGTAAAATGAAAAGGAGAATAAAATAGTAAAAATGAGAAAGTCCGGAAGTGATATTTGCTGAAAATATATCAACTAAGTCCACTCTTAAACCTTATTTTCAATGAGTGTCTTATTTAAAAAATGCACTCAAACAATTAATAACAAATTCGAAATTTGTTTTTTCTTAGTTGCTTCAAACCTCAATTCTCGAATTTTATTGACAGTATTTTTTCACATTCATTCTGTTTAAATGACCCTGGTTGTGGAGCTCGAATGCTCTTAAATTTGAAAAGTGGGAGACAAATCCGATCTTTGGGATTATCTCCACTTCGTTGCTAATCTTATGTTGTTCTATTTCACGCTACTGCATGGAATACCTACTGTTTTCCATCCTAACTGGTTATGGTTATCGTTAATTGCATATCGACGAAAGATTAGCGTTGAGCATTTTGCATCATAATTGGAGAAAATTTTCTCATAGGCAATAGTTGAACCGTTCTTGTCTTTTTAAGAACAAAGAACTTGAAGTCATTAAGAAAGTGTATGAAGTGTGCAAGGCTACCAAGGATGCCCAAAGGGAACTAATGTTTGTTTGAACATTCCGCAAAGTTTTAATTCGTAATTGATTACATGGTCATCAGTTTCAGATGCGCGCTTCTCAGCTGACCAGAGGTCAGTATCTATGTGACGCAGAAGTGCTTTAATTATTTATTTCAAATGGCAGGTGTTTTGATAGTTATCATTAGCCCTTTAGCTAACTTCGGGCTTCACAGGGGGAAGGAACATCAAAGTAACAGAAAGTCGAGGTATGGGGAACAGAAGAGTGGTTAACAGTTGTAAAAGAGACTGACACAAGGGCAGAGAAAAGGTAGGATGATTACTTTGGAAGTGGTAGAATATGGCATCCAGTGATGTTATGGTAGTTTGAAGTCAGAAGTCAACTGCCGGTTAATAGACTTATTTTGCCGTATGAGTATACGTTGCCCAGGGTGCACCACGTGGAGGTAAGTCTATCACACACCCCGTGCATTAATTATAATTGCCAAGAATTTGTAACAGACTCTTTCCTCCTCCCTCCACCCCCCCCCCCCCCCCCCCCCCCCCCTCTATAATATTTTTTGCCTCTTTGGCGATAATTTTTACTAAAGGACACTGTTAGAGGCTCAATTTAATTCACAAGATTAGGGTGTACTCCTAAGAGACTTGTCAAGGTTTGTCCTCTCTTACAAGTATACTATTTCATTAGAGTGATCTTCCCCGTTAACTTCTGTGAAAATAAGAGTTTTCTTGGGGATACACTCTTTTGTTCACTCTTCATATGTTCAATCGCAAGATCAGCAAAATGAACAGCTAGTGCATAAGGCTTGATTTACAGGCCTAAAGCTTCCAATGCTGAAAATATCGGGAAGTAAGGCGTTTAAATTATAAAGAAAGGCAACGACTTCATGGAGGTCTTTGTAATTTGCACACTCAAGATACTTGAGGAGCTTTGTTCAGCTGATGTATTTTAGATGGTTTGAAAACTGGTGAATTGCCTCCCATGAATGAAGGTTGGTAACTACTTGCAGATTCACAAACCGATTGCTTATTGTCTTAATTCTTGTAGAATGTCTAAACTAGTACAGGTTAAATTTCCCAACGCTGACAGGAGCTTACTTAATCGGCCTTGCACCATTTATGGTTCACATCTTCCATCTTGTAATTTGTGAAATTTACACTGGTTCAGCCTTGACCTTTTTTTTATTTTCCCTTGAGGCACATACTGCAGAATCCTTCGTGGTATGTTCTCAAAACGGAGTAACACTTCCACACTGTTATAGGTCACAGTTAGTCCAGATCCAGGGAGATAAAAGGACACTTTATTGAGTCAAGCCACAACCAAAACCAGGACATTTAGTGACTTTAATTGGGATTGATGTCAGAGCATTGACAACCCCCAGAAGTGCCCTTCTCGAGACAAAACGACAACCCCAAGGCTTCGAGCATCATTTTGTCGGATTGCTATTAGTGAACAATTAAATTGCTCGCATATCTTCTCCTCTGCTCATATTGAGCTTTTCTACATGAGGCTTTAGATAAGCATTCCAAAATCGAAATCCCACCCACGCATTTATTTTCCCACAAGGCTAGCAAAATGCAATCATTGAGTAAACGAATATTACTTTACATAGCATTAAAATTCTGATAACAAATATGGTTCCCCAGCACGGTTGACGCCCATCCGATTGAGGGTGTGAGAATTTTTGTTTGATGAAGTAATGACATCCGGAACTTATCTGACAGTTGGACTGTGCGCCTAATGGGCAGTACGACGAAAAGGTGAGCTGACTACTGGAAATGCTCATAAAATGGAGGAAAATTTGGTTTGATACTGAGTATTGGAATTAATAGAGCCGTTTGCTGATTCCTGGTGAGAATCGTGCACAAAATAGAACACATTTTGGCTGGGTCACAACCTATTGTGCCAATAGAAGTGTTATAATCTGGCGAACAAAGAAAATTAATTCCTATTCTCATCTCCAAATCTCAAATGGAGTTCTTCATGCCTTCAGAGATTCTAAATTAGTGATGTGAAAGCGGTTGAGAATCAGACTTCTGATTAATAAGCTCTCCCAACAAGTTAAAGCTTATATGTTTCTCTGCATCTTTCATGCCTTTATTCACACTTTTTATTTGGCCCAAAGTGTAATCACGACGATCACTCATACCTAGCCCCCTTTGGCAGTCATTTATTACGTGCATTACCACCTTCCTACTGACTACTCCACCCCTAGCGGTATTCTACTTTCACAAGCCACCGACCCCTAAGAGTCAAAGCTCAATCATGCACAGACATTCCCTCACGATCTGAATCTGTACAATAATATATGTACTGATGTATGTAATTAAAAAAAACTTAGGATGCAAAATTTTCATGCAAATTGGACAAAGTAGCATTGACAAGGAGTCGAGTGATTGAATGCACCCAGTTCGTCGTTCCCCCCCCCCCCCTCCCCCCTCGTTTCGCGTATTTCCTTACCATACAGTATGATAATATTTCGTCTACTTCTAATACTTCAGTAGTAACGTACCAAGTGACAAAAAGTTCATGATTACTAACACTATCATGACGGGATACGAGGCAACGTCAACCACGCGTTACTATAAACCAGGAATTTTCATTTACCACCACCACCACATGAATGAATAATATATTTTGAACGGTGTACCTATCTGATTGCTATTCCGTAGCTATTATATTAGTAAATCGGAGGAATGGGATAGACTTACCTCTTCGTAGTGCACCCTGGATAACGTATAATCATACGGCAAAAAGTCTATTAACTAGCAGTTGACTTCTCACTTCAAATTACCACCACCCCACTGTATGTCATATTCGACCCCTACCACAGTACTAATCTTACCCTTTCTGAGCCTTTGTGCCTGTCTGTTTCTTTTACATCTGTGAATCAGCCTTCTATTCCCCTTCCCGAATTCTTCTCACTTTGTTGTTCCTCCTTCCCTCTGTGAAGCCCGAAGTCAACTAAAGGGCTAATGATAACTAACGAAACGCCTGCCATTTGTTATAAATAAATAAATATTAGTAAATCCGGGATGCTCGACATACTTACCTCCCATGTTGCACTCTGGGAAACGAATATTCATATGTCAAGTCTATAAACCGGCAATTGACTTCCAACTATCATGATCCCATTGTATGTTATATTTCAACACTTCCACAGTATCCACTTCTCCTGTGTCTCTACACTTGTGTCTGGTTGTCTTTCTTACATCTGTGAATCACTCTTCTGTTTCTCCCATCGACCTTACGTGATTTTTATGCCCTTCCCCATTGTGAAGCCCGAAGTCAACTAAATTGTTAACGATA